TCACAAGTTCAGTCCTGAAATTTGGGGGAAACTCATTAGCCAGCCAGCTTGCCATCCCTATGGTGGAGTGAGTCCTGAAGCTTCCTGTGTCGTTCATTGGCGCTTAAGGCATCCTTGAAACCTAATAAAAATACCCCCAATCTGCCCTCAGGAGCTACCACCCAGAAAGTGAGAGTGCCACATCAAAGATCTTGGCCACAGCGTCTTGGTTCTCTAATGAGGCCATGAGGCAGCACTTTTTGGTAACTCAAGCCAGAAGGGAAATGGGAGAACTTCAATCTTCCCGTCTTCTCTTTGAAGGGCATGATCGTCCATTGGGAGAAGCAACTCTCATTTGCCCTGCTTTTTCATGGGTGACCATTTCCAAATTGTTTCCCCATGCAACAGTCATGTGTCCTGAATACAACAAAAAAGGGAATTAGGATCCAGAGCCTTGGTGACACATGGAATGTGGCTTTGTGGTTGCCACATTTTGTCTCAGTCAGTGGCCCCTTACTCTCCTTCAAGCTCACCAGGCACACTCCTGCCTTTGGGCCTCCATGACAGAAGCCACCTCTGTGTGGCTCGCACTTCCCCCAAGAGCACTTTGACAACTTTGTCGTCCCCTTCACAGTTTTGTTCAAAAGTCACTTCAACTGAGTCTCCCTTGACTAAATCGTCCTATTTAAAACCGCACACTAGCCCCACGCACATACATACTCTCCATCTCCCTCCGTCACTGTATCCCTCTTTTTGCTTACTTCCATTCTCACCATCTTTTAGCTCCGTGTTTCTCAAACTTGAGTTGCATCAGGATTACCTGGAGGAATTGTTAAACACACACTGCCAGGTCCACCCAGGGTGTCTGTTTCTCACAAGTTCTCACACATGCCGCCTCTCCAAGGACCTCACTTTGAGAACCACTGTGCTAGCAAATTCCATGCCCTGCTAGAACACAACCCCCATGAAGGCAGGCTCTTTGTTTTATTCACTGATGCCTTCTAAGAGCTTTGCAGACTATCAGCCCAGAGCAGACACTCAACAAATACACAGTTAGGGTCCATATCCATGTCTAGGAGGTCTGCATCCAACGGCAGATGCAAGCAGGCTACACCAACTGTTAGGAAACTGGGGAAGAGGTGGATCCTAAAAGAGAGATACCAAGGACTTTTTACTTACATCTGATGCTAAGATTACTTACAAGTAATCTAGAGCTGACTTAAATCCTGTGGGAAGATTTGGGTAGATTATATGCAAATACTATGTCATTTTATATAAGGGACTTGAGTATCCTTGGAGTTTGGTATCTACAAATGGCCTTGGAGCCAATCCCGTGTAGATACCAAGGGATGACTGTACTTTTTTGAATGAGATACACAATAATGTTGAAAAGTCTGGTCTTGGGAGTCAGCCCAGGCTCCAAGCACAGAATCTACCACTATCTGTGACTTTGGGCACATGATGGGAACTTTTGGAGCTTTCATGTCCTCATTCTAAAGTGAACATAATTACGAATGGCTTCTGTGTCTGTGGGGCTTGGTGCAAAATGGAAATGCAGGATCCCTTGTTCAAAAATATTTAAGAATTTCAAGGTATTGACAGCAGAGCATTAAACTGAGCACAGGGACCTGTATGACTACATTCGTTGCATGTCCATGCCACTGAGCTAGGAATAAAAAGTAGATAATGGAACCAGCAGATGGCATAATGGATACATCACTGGACTTCCATGTAGTCAACCGCCTCAGATCCAGCGACTTAAAACTCATGCCAGGAGTTTTTGTCTTCCCAAAATCCCGAGAGGAGAATGGAGGAGAAGGGATTGCAGTGAAGCCATCCCCACTGGGAGGTGATTTTTCACTTTCTGTCCCTGTCTCTCTCTGTCTCTCCAGTGAGCACATGGGCCCTATAGCAAAAATCTCTCTTTAAAAAAATAGGGAGAACGGTGGCGGCGACGGTGGCTCAGGCAGCTCGGGACTGAGTGCCAGTAACAAAGAGTCACCATGATTCTTCAGAGACTCTTCAGGTGCTCCTCCCTCATTCCACCAGCCGTCTCAGTCCATTTGCGGAGGAACATCGGTGTCACAGCAGTGGCATTTAATAAGGAACTTGACCCTGTACAGAAACTGTTTGTGGACAAGATTAGAGAATACAAATCTAAACGACAGGCAACTGGAGGACCTGTTGATACTGGCCCAGAATATCAGCAAGATCTGGAGAGGGAGCTTTTTAAGCTGAAGCAGATGTATGGTAAAGCAGACGTGAACACATTCCCTAGCTTCAGGTTTGAAGATCCCAAATTTGAAGTCATCGATAAACCCCCGTCCTGAAGAAGTAAAGTAACAATAATCCAGTAATTTGTGATGAGTCAGTTGTACTATTAAAAAAAAATTATTTAAAAAAAAAAAAAAAAAAAAAAAAAAAAAATAGAAGCTGGCAGGTGGCTTGGTGGTTAAGGGTGCTAGACTCCCGCATGGCCGACCCTGGTTTGAATTGTGGACCTGGCAGCTTTCTCTCTCTCTCTCTCTCTCTCTCTCTGTCCCACTCTGGTCAAATTAAAATAAGTAAATAAATAAAGTTAAATAAAATCATTTTAAAACTAGTATCCATTTCATGGGACTGTTATGAAGACCAAACAGGATAAGGGATGTGGAAGCATCTCATACAGCCCCTGGCACTTACGAAATTCCCTCCTTACAGCTCACCTTCCTCCACCACCCAGCTGTTACCTGCAGGACAAGTTTGGGTGGCCCCAGTGGTACTACTCCTCACCCTTGAGCTTGGCTCTGCCAGAGACTCATAGAAAAGCCCTCTGCTACTGTGGACTTGACCTTGCCAGTTGTTCTCAGGCAAAAAAGGTGGTGTCCCTCTGCCAAGGACACTCTGCATTCACAAAGCCTGGGTAGTTCAAGAGAGAAGTTCGGGGAAGGGCAGCCTGGGCACCAACAGTGAGTGGAGTCCCCAACCCCACCAGCCTCTGTTGGTGCAGCCAGCACCCTGGCTGCTACCTTGGATAAATGAACCATCACACTGACCAGCTACAGGATGAATGAGTCCCATCCAGAGCTCACGGCTTGCTCCTCCCACCCATCTGAAGGGACAAACAGAGGGAACAACTATTTTTGGAACTGGAAAACATCATTTTCTATCACTTTACTATATCAGCTCATCTCACAGACTCTGGAATAAACAGACCTGGCAGAGATGACAGGTCCACGGGTGTTGAGGTGGGAGGAGCTGACAGTAGGGAGAGATCAACAGCCCTTGAAGCACAACGCCTGAGTTCTGTGGGCTGCGGACATCTGCTCCAACCTGGCTGAAACCAAGAGGCAGAGTCAGGGGCCTGGCCACTTCAAGGTCATCTTGCTTCTCACAAGGCATGCACAATAGCACCAGAGTGGAAGTAAGGGTGGGGAGCACAGGAAGAGTGGGGTCCCTGTAGCTCTTACTCTAAGCAAGTCCCAGCTACTAAAACCTACAGTTTGCACACAATAGCTATGGTCATGTTTTCCAATGGCCCCACCCTAGGTCTCCTTTTAGGTCTTTTTTTTTTTTTAAAGTCAGTTCCTTTGATAAATAATGTTATTCAATTTACAAAACATGCACTTGTGGGCCAGATGGTGATACAGCAATAACACAACCGGACCCACACGCAAAGGTCCCCAGTTCAAGTCCTAGCATCTCCCTTTCCATACCAGACACACATGGTGGTCCAGGCAGGCTGAGGCTAGGGGATGTTTTTCTGTCTCTTGATCTCTGTCTCTCTGACTCTCTCTATGGAGAAAATAAACTTTTGCACTTAGCCTTCAGACACACGATACCTGTGGCTAGAAGCAGTATTCCCACACGCACGCCTGCATATTCACACACACCCACACACACATCATGCATGTGTTATCACTTCCGGTAACAGAAGCTCCACTTGTCAGGATGCCGTGTGGCTCCCCTGCTGTGCCAGATGGAGTCTGGTTCGAGTCCTGCGATGGCACTTACTAGCTCTGTGACCTTGCAGAAGTTGCCTCGTCTTTCTGCTCTGCCTCTTTGTCTTTCGTACATGGAGGAGTTGTGAGATGAGAGATAATGAATATTAACGAGGTGCCCGACACAGAATAATAGTTAATAATAGCACTTTGCAAGGTCATTGGACATGGTCACATGAAGTAGCAAATGCACCTGGCATGTTGGAGCTGCCCCCACCTGTCCACTAGAAGCAGCGGAGGACCCCGTGTTAGGCACCCCTGTGGCTCTCCCAAGGTCCACAATGAATAAGGGGGTCTACAGATGACTCAGATCACTTCCGTCCCCTCTTGTCTCTCCTCTTAGACTTCTTTCTTGGTCTAGTTGTCCTTTACCACATTGACGGATTGGTCAAATTGGAGGCATCCCATGACCACCTCTTCGGCCTGGGTGGCTGAAAAATGAGGAAAGGGCTAAAAGGCAGTTTCTAAAGCAACGTAGTGCCTCTGTGGGGTTTTCTTCTGAGACATGGACCCGGCGGAGTTCCAGGAGGTCACTCAGCCCCCAAGGACCTCCTCTTTAACCTTTAACGTCCTTCCAAAAGGCTGTATTCACTAAGTGACACTTGAAGGACTGAAAGATGACCTTCTTCCTACAACTTTAAAGGTACCTTCTATACTGCTATTTGTCACTCTGTTCAACCACTTCAGAGAGCTGTCTGGCAGCATCTTTAACGCTGAACATAAGCATACGCTGTCCAAGAGAAAGGAGTGCAGTGTCCACCCATGAAACACACATGAAGATGTTCATAGTAACTTCATTCTAGTAGCCCCGAACTGGATGTTCCATAGCAAGAGAATGGGTAAATAAAGTGCATAATTCATACCACAGATACACAACATACAAAGAACACATCACTGCTACATGCAAATTCATGGGTGATTTCACATTGTGTTCAGAGAAAGAAACCAGACCCAAATTTACACTGTTACTCTATTTACATGGCATACCAATCGATGGTGATAGAAGTCATATGGTGGTGGGACCAGCAGATGGCATAAAGGTTACATCGCTGGACTCCCACATAGCCAACACAGTTCAAGTCCCAGACCCTGTGGTTTGAAACTCACACCAGGCATGTGTACGTGCATGCCCAAAATCCTGAGAGGAAAATAGAGAAGGGATTGCGGCATGGCCATATCCTCTGAGGGTGGTTTCTTCTTTTCTACTGGGCAGTGAGCATGCCCAATAGTAAAAAATCTCTCTTTAAAAGTCCCAGCTACTAAAACCTACAGTTTGCACACAATAGCTATGGTCATGTTTTCCAATGGCCCCACCCTAGGTCTCCTTTTAGGTCTTTTTTTTTTTTTAAAGTCAGTTCCTTTGATAAATAATGTTATTCAATTTACAAAACATGCACTTGTGGGCCAGATGGTGATACAGCAATAACACAACCGGACCCACACGCAAAGGTCCCCAGTTCAAGTCCTAGCATCTCCCTTTCCATACCAGACACACATGGTGGTCCAGGCAGGCTGAGGCTAGGGGATGTTTTTCTGTCTCTTGATCTCTGTCTCTCTGACTCTCTCTATGGAGAAAATAAACTTTTGCACTTAGCCTTCAGACACACGATACCTGTGGCTAGAAGCAGTATTCCCACACGCACGCCTGCATATTCACACACACCCACACACACATCATGCATGTGTTATCACTTCCGGTAACAGAAGCTCCACTTGTCAGGATGCCGTGTGGCTCCCCTGCTGTGCCAGATGGAGTCTGGTTCGAGTCCTGCGATGGCACTTACTAGCTCTGTGACCTTGCAGAAGTTGCCTCGTCTTTCTGCTCTGCCTCTTTGTCTTTCGTACATGGAGGAGTTGTGAGATGAGAGATAATGAATATTAACGAGGTGCCCGACACAGAATAATAGTTAATAATAGCACTTTGCAAGGTCATTGGACATGGTCACATGAAGTAGCAAATGCACCTGGCATGTTGGAGCTGCCCCCACCTGTCCACTAGAAGCAGCGGAGGACCCCGTGTTAGGCACCCCTGTGGCTCTCCCAAGGTCCACAATGAATAAGGGGGTCTACAGATGACTCAGATCACTTCCGTCCCCTCTTGTCTCTCCTCTTAGACTTCTTTCTTGGTCTAGTTGTCCTTTACCACATTGACGGATTGGTCAAATTGGAGGCATCCCATGACCACCTCTTCGGCCTGGGTGGCTGAAAAATGAGGAAAGGGCTAAAAGGCAGTTTCTAAAGCAACGTAGTGCCTCTGTGGGGTTTTCTTCTGAGACATGGACCCGGCGGAGTTCCAGGAGGTCACTCAGCCCCCAAGGACCTCCTCTTTAACCTTTAACGTCCTTCCAAAAGGCTGTATTCACTAAGTGACACTTGAAGGACTGAAAGATGACCTTCTTCCTACAACTTTAAAGGTACCTTCTATACTGCTATTTGTCACTCTGTTCAACCACTTCAGAGAGCTGTCTGGCAGCATCTTTAACGCTGAACATAAGCATACGCTGTCCAAGAGAAAGGAGTGCAGTGTCCACCCATGAAACACACATGAAGATGTTCATAGTAACTTCATTCTAGTAGCCCCGAACTGGATGTTCCATAGCAAGAGAATGGGTAAATAAAGTGCATAATTCATACCACAGATACACAACATACAAAGAACACATCACTGCTACATGCAAATTCATGGGTGATTTCACATTGTGTTCAGAGAAAGAAACCAGACCCAAATTTACACTGTTACTCTATTTACATGGCATACCAATCGATGGTGATAGAAGTCATATGGTGGTGGGACCAGCAGATGGCATAAAGGTTACATCGCTGGACTCCCACATAGCCAACACAGTTCAAGTCCCAGACCCTGTGGTTTGAAACTCACACCAGGCATGTGTACGTGCATGCCCAAAATCCTGAGAGGAAAATAGAGAAGGGATTGCGGCATGGCCATATCCTCTGAGGGTGGTTTCTTCTTTTCTACTGGGCAGTGAGCATGCCCAATAGTAAAAAATCTCTCTTTAAAAAATAAAATTGGGGCTAGCAGGTGGCATGGTGGTTAAGGGTGCTGGACTCCCACATGGCCAACTATAGTCCGAGTCCCAAACATGGCAGGCTGCTTTCTCACTTTCCCTCTCTCTCTTACTCTGTCCCTCTCTGGTCAAATTAAACATAAATAAGTAAAGTTAAATAAAATAATTCTTTAAAAATATTTTTTTAAATAAATATTCATATGGTGGTTACTTCTTGAGGGATGTTGACTTTGAAGGAGCATTAAGGGAACTTTCTGGCACCATAAATACCCTGATCTGGGTGCAGCCACAAAGGTATAAGCAGTAGGGAACCACTGCACTGTACTGGAGCCGTGT